TTTGGGGGGGGGGGGAGGCACTGGGTGAAAGTACGTACGTGAGGGGTGCGTAGAAGCAATATATCTGATGCATGGTGAGGAACGTTATCTTGGAGCCGAGGACGATGACGGAAGCTGTTTGATTATTCGCTACAATGGCGCTAATAATGCCAAGGCTCTCGAAGGACTCGAGCTGCTCGCGTAAATTACAACTCCAGACCTGCATCTTGCCGTTGCCGGAGCCGTTGCCTTGCGTGTACGTGATGAAGCCGCAGATGCTCGGGTGTGAGATGATGCCAAAGACCGGCTTGTTGTGTATCCCGTTGGACGATATTATGCACTCCAGTTTGAGGGTCCAGGCACTTACTGTCACGAGCGGTCATTAATCGCTCGAGTATTTAGCAATTTTCTGAATTATTTGCTAAGGCTCGACTACGCATTCGTAATGATCAATGGCATTATTGCAGAATGCCGTTCACGGTGTCGGGTATTAAGAATGCAATGTCGATGGCCATTTGGCAGTAAACGAAGATTTGTATTCGATTTTTAACACTAGAGGACGAAATTTAATAAATAACGCAATTAAAATAAAAGTTTAGAGGTAATGATGACACTGAATTTTCCGAACGAGAATAAAGTATAGTATGCTGCTTGTCTGTTCTATTATTGTAAATGATATAAATAATTTGAAGTAAAATTTCACTCTTAATGTACATTATACGTACGTAAAATTCTTTAATATAATACTTGCTAATAATTAATTAAATTGGATGTTATTTAATAATCAAAAAAATTTTATTTAAAATTAATATTATTTACAATCAAAAAATCTCGATGTATAATTGTATAATTTTTATCTTCTCATATGCATACATAGATATATGTGTGCTCGCGCGCGCGCAAGTCTGTACATTGTATAACAACGGCTCAAATGATGAATCATGAATCACACGTTAGCCACAATGTGCTAATAATGTATTTATAATATATTGTTGATTTAATTTACAATAAATACTTTCATTGGTACTTTTTTAATGCTGCTAATAGAAAAAATTAATAAAATTTACGCTTTTATAAATTGAACTTTTACATTGTCATATGACGATTCTGCATACTTAAATAATCAAAGAATAATATAAATCAAAGTATAATAAAAATCGAAAATTATAGACTGGCATTTTAAAATAATACTTGCTAGCACATTCAGAGTCACTGATAAATAACTATTTTGAAAGGAGCTTTAGAAATAAAAAAAAAATTTAATAAGTAATTAATATATAAGATAACTTAATTATACGTATATTATTTTGTTACATTGGAATTTTTTATCAATAAAACAAATAATATAGAAATAAATTATAACTGTTTTGCGAAAACAAAGGAATAATATCCTCGAATGTATAACTTACTTACTTATAGAATTCTAAATTTCATAATATATACATTTTGTAAGTTATCACGCCATCTTGTAATTTTAATTTATGCAAAAATTAATAATATTAGTTTATCGATTCATATTTACAATCATTTAGGGTCAATTTTTTAAGAGTGAAAAATTTTCCAAACAATATATATATATATATATATATATATATGTGTGAAAATTACATCACCCAAATACCCATTTGTGCAAAAAGAATAAATTTTTTTACTTTAAAATAAAATTCATTTATTTCGACATTTTGTGCTTGATAAAATAGTTTAGTAAAATATATAAAATTATATTGATGATTAAATATTTTTTAATTTAAAAAAATTTAAATATCTTAAATAATCATATAAATTAAGTACGTTACGTATAATGTGACATAATAGGATTTTGTTGGTAATTTAACCTATTCCCTTTATAATTAGCTAATTTTCATTGGGTATTATTATTATTGTTAAAAGTCTTATTAATTCACTCTGTAAGGGTATGCTGTCATATATTTGTTTAACGTATATTGTTAAAAGTTTTAAGAAAAAAATGTTGATAATACCATTGCCTTGATGATCTCCTATAATTATCCACGAACTAGATTCATAAAAATAAATGACAGTTATAGGCGCTTTTGATGCATTTGTACGTTTTTCTAAAAATTCGATGCCTGTAATCACATCTGCTTCATCGTCGTTAAGCTCAAGTGGAAACAAGTACAGCGTCGTCGAATAAGAAGCCACTAGTTGAGATTCAACTATTATTAAAAAATATTACTATAAGAAATGCATATTAATTAATTTTATAAATTTATAATTTTATATATATATATATATATTTTTTTTTTTTTATTGAACGAAAATGCCAAGATTATCGCGTAAATTTAGTATTTTCACATAAGGAAGTTGACGATAAGACCGTATATAGTCCAGTCCACAATTAAATGTGCATATTATAAATGCAATTCATATGAGAATTTTTAGTTATTTTAAATATAACTTTTAAAATATTTATAGTTCACATATTTTGATCATGGGTATTTATTTGTACTTATGAGACACGCAAATTGTTTTTGACGAATGCTTAGACAAAGAGAAAATTTCCGTTAATTTAGCGAAAATATAAAATATAAAAATTGAAATATATATTTTAAACATTTTTAATATATTTTTTAATGACCTGCCCCTTCCAGAATCATATGAGTGCATTCTAATTGCCAAGTTGCTCCAAATTCAGAGTCGTTGTATTTCAAGGGTTTTATTGGTTCCAATTCTTCCATTTCGAAATCCAGTAAATACTTCTTTCTTGCACAACGTTCAATATACAAATGATTTGCAATAAAATTTATTAAGTGATTCCTTTGTGTAAAATTAATTATTATAAATTTATATTCCATTAACAATCAATGAAATGTAAGAATTTTTATTATATAATTAATATTTATAATTATTTAACGACAAAAAAGCTGCAACGTGACAATTTGATTAAACATTAGCATAGTATCGAGTTTTATAAGAATAGTAAAGTTGAAATAAAAATCATACAAATTACATTACAGAGGATAAAAATATTTCTGAAAGATTGATTAATCTGAATTATAAATCTTTTAATGAACTTTTACATATTTATAAACTACCCTTACATTAACTACGTACTGATTTAAAAACAAATTATATTAGTATTACATTAGGAACAGATAGCGAATTTGCCGGTTCTCACGCTATATCCTACGCTACATCCGCCCACGTAAATAGAACTTGGAAAGACAGATTGATTATTTTTCTTTATATTCTATAATAAAACTCACGACTATCTGGTTTGTGCCGACAACGGTGATCTCGTTACTTTTTGGCTCATAATAAACTCCTTTTGTTTGAAACTCATTTGCGATCGTTTTGAGGATGACGCACGTAGTAGATAAGAACATAATGGTCTCACCGGATGGATCATAGCAAGCAAAACAATTCACATTGTCGCACCAGAGCATTTGAGTAAAACCATTCGAAGTTAAGGAAAATGATGGATGTAGACGCTGTCCTTGCATGGAGTACCGCATCATTCGTACGCCTTTATCAAGTACCAAATATTCCTAAAATAATAACGGGCTTCGTTAATGGTGAGCTACTGTTATATTTAGCTTTTAAACCTGATATGATTTACTTGATTTACATTTAAGTATCGTCGTAAGCTCGCAAGATACAATTTTGCAATTAAGAATGGAATCAGGTATAAATTTATAAATGAACAATTCGACGTCTATTGATTCTTTGAATATTATGTCATATGACCAAAAGTTCAGAGCTACCGAATTGCATATTTTTAATGACTTCGCATAGTCAGCATTTATTTTGGTAGTCTAACTCGAAGCTTGGAAAATGTAGGTTGTATACTATATATACATATACATATATATATATATATATATATATATTACGCGTAATAAAAACTTGTATATCATGACATATCGATTTAAATATTGAAAACTTTGTCATGAATTTTATGCATTTTTGTAGTATTTAATGTTTATTCTCAACGCTATTTGGTTCTACATATTTTATTACAATACCATTCATTGCTTATAAAAAATATATATATATATTAAATACAAATCTGTAACTACCCTCGCAATTTTATACACAATTTTAAATGCATTTTAAAGCATTATTACCCAATTACAATTATTTTAGTGGAACAAAAAAAGTAAAGAATAGATGAAAATTATCCGAATTAAATAAAATAATGATATATTTAACTAAATTCCTAATAGCAATATCATTATATATAGCCCAAATGTTTTTGTAATTATTTACTTGAGTTTTAGTGCAGAAGCAAATATTTGTGAACACTTTGTCTAAAATTGTCGATGACGTCACTTTCAAACCGTGATAAATCTTTTCGTCGCGTACGCCTTCGAAGTATTTCTCATCAAGACGACTTTTAAAACGTTCGTTCATTACTCTCAATGTCATTCGCCAAGTTTCTTTCTTTTCTTCGGAATATGAATCATTTTTCTCATCCATTTTATCCATATTTAAAAATAATTTCAATATTTCCGATTAGGTTAGTAACTGATTATAATCTTTATTTAACGCGTTGATCTAGAAAAAAAAATGTTTATCTAATAGTAAAAATAAATCCACATTTATTGGTGTTGATAAATTCTTTCAAAATGAGACACAAATAATACGCATTAAATTTATTTATTCTAATGATTTACTGAGTGTTAATGTTAAATCAATATTTCATGGTTATGAGAGAATTTTAAAGAAACAGAAGTAAAACAGTAGCAAAGCAAACTCTGAAATTCAAAATTTTATAAATTATACGAATATTTGTATTATAGAATTAAAATAAATACTCTAAAGTACTTAAAAAATCAATGGCGAATTATGTAATATTATTATTTAAGAACAATACTATTTTAATTTAATTTAAACGCCTGATGAAGTCAAATAAGAATTACTTGTACGATAATATTAATTTTACCATTTATCAATTTAGGTAAACCTATTAATTATTATAATACATAGCTAGTGAAGGTAGATTGAAATTAGTGATTTAAAACATATCAACTTGTTTGTTCGTGATTCTTAATTTCGTATCAATATTTATGTGAAATCATTTAAATAAATATTACACGTAAATACACTGATGCCTCTATAATTAACAATTATTTATTTTAGTACTTTAGTTTCATTAGTTAAAAGAATTAAAAATGTATATCTGAAGTAATTATTTCAACTTATCCATTATGTTGTTTTTTTTTTTTTTTGTTTTTTCATTCCCTTTTAAACACGATAATACTTTACAATTCAAAAATTTATTAAGAATCTGTAATTTAAACATTTTCGTTGTTTTATATAATTTTTATTCGTCAGTTAAATATTTATTTACCATCTAATAATAATTGCAGCCTATCAAAATATTTGCAATGTATTCGCACAATATCTTGCGGAATTACGTAACAATACTGTACACTAATGTCTGTAAAAAGAATATTAACTAATATAATATAAAAATACTAACCTACCTCAATATTAAGTAATTATCATTTAAGACATTGATGTAGAATATTAAATGATTTACGGATTTATATTTCATAAAAATATTACAAAATAAGATTCTATATATACAAAGTAATATGAAATTGACAATAAAAGTCATTATATAAAGTAATTATCGATGGATAGATGATAATTTATGATAATTTATTAATTTTATTTCTTAACAATTTGGTATTTCTATTAAAAAGTCTTATTAATAATAATTAAAGATCATTTATAATTTGAAAATTAGTTTTATTTATCCACTTAAATTTCATTATTTATATTGACTTTTTTTTCTTCAACTTCAATTAAATTTTACATTTTTTCGAAAAATCACATATTTTGTTAAATATTGTCATATTTTTAAATACGGTAATGTAAATTATTTATACCAATCGAGTCAATTAATTATGCATAAATGTATTATTTATTCCATGCTAATAAAATTAATAATTTAACAAAATAAAAAATACTCATTTTGATTTACAACTTTCATTCTATTAATCTATATATCTATAAATAAAAGAACTATCGATGTGATAAGAAATGTATTATAATTAAAAATAATATGGTAAAAAATAAAAAATATTTAATTTATAATCGACATAGTCTCGTTGTTCTTTTTATAAAAATATAATATAATTATTTGAATTTTTTAGTAATATATTCAATTAACCTATAGTGAAATATTGTACGTGCAATTATCAGTAAATAATTATCAGTAAAATTTGGATTTCTATCATTTTGACCATTTCTGTTATACTTATTTCTAATATTTTTTTACAAATAAATCTAATTTTAGTTTGAATCAAATATTACTATATATTTACACACGAAAATATAATTGCGTATGAATATTTTGCATATGAAAAATCAGAATCCAATTACCATTAGAAAAATTTGCCTAAAATGCTAATAAATCTCAATCTACATATAATTTATCATTTAAATTTAAATTGAACTATGCCTTTTTCATCAATCCATTAATTCGACAAATTTTGTAAAAAATAATAATACGTCTGTGTTTCTATGAGTAATTCGAAAGGCAAAATTTAATGAAAAATGTAGAATTAATCGATGCGAATGTAATTCGTATCTATCAATACAATAATAATATTATTATAAATTATTGTCATATAAAAATAAACTTAGCCAAGTAGCATTATATATTGCATTAATATTTCATAGTGAAAATTATAATAATTATATAAAATTTAATATAAAAACAAAATCAAGATTCATAATATTGTAAAAATATTAGACGAATATATGAAGAAATTATTGCATAAAAACAAAGTTATATATTCATTTAAAGTATTTCAATATAACCGTTGAAATCAATTATGAGTGAACAACTGCAAAATCTATACAGTGCTAGTTATATTGATAATTACAGAAAATAATTTCTCATAATCCTTTATCATTACTACTTTATTTTACTTCAGAAGAGCCAAGATGTATGGAGAAAAACCCAAGTTATAATTTAGCAAATACAAAGCAAGGAATATTTGATCTAGAGAATAGTTTTTCTTAAATATGTAAATTAAACTATTAAAATAATTTTAAACTGTCAATATAAATTTTTTCTTTTTTTTACAGATTTATTAGTAATAATATTGATAGCAGAATGAGTAATAATTAAAACAAAATTAAATCATACAAATTCATTTATAATTTTGTTTAAAATTTTAATATATAAGCATATTTAATCTGACGTCGATTAAAAAAATCCCATTACGAAATGAAAACATTTATTTAACACCCACGTTACGGAGAACATAGCAACTTAATTAGATATTATCTAATTATGCAACTTGGTAAAAACATTTCTTATTATTTTTCGTTCCAACGCATTATGATTGTTTCATCGATTTATCAATTGAAAAAAAAAATGATTTAATAACCATATAGTGTTTAATACGATAGTCCACGTAATCAATTAATTTGTTGAATAATTACATTAATTAACATTACTTTTAATCGTTATTTTATTAGTCATTAATTGTATTACTTATCGATAATGACAATAGAAATTAATTTTATTATTTTATCTATATCAACTTTGAAATGCTCGAAAACTGAAATGGTTGAATAAAAATAAATTAAACGATATAATTTACGTTCAATAATAAATTCTATTATATGCCGGATTAGTGTCGTTCAAAAGACTGCTTACAATTTCTATACTTTTTTATATAAATTAAAAAATTCGGCATTACTAATATATTTTTATTTACATTGTTAAAGCACAATACGATTGTTTAAGAATAATCTTGAATTTTGGTTTTGATTAATATGATTGTTTATTTAATGGGCTTATTTAATTTGATTATTAATATATTTTACTCCTTAATTAAAGAGATTAAATTTCTTTTACACTGAAATTATACGATTATCGAATAAAATACAATAAAATAAATTATTAAATAAAATTTAATAATAAAATAAAGCTTCTCGTTATGATTATAAGGAAATAATTGGTTAAAAAGCTTTCAATGATATTATGATTTTTTAAGTCACTGAAGCTTGATATTATAACGTATTTACAAATTATTTTATTACTTTAATACAAATTTTAAAACAAATGTAATATATGGTTATAATTAATCAAAATGAATTGATAGATGTTTTAAGAAGATGCGAGAACATAATTATTTAAACAATTTCAGTGAGTAATTCAATACATAATTACAATTTATAATCAATGTGTTCATACCACATGCGCTTGTATAGTCGAATATCATGCTTCGGTTCTTTAAGTTTCAATGTTAAATATTTTAAAAGATTTTTTAAAGAGCCACGCAAGTGGCCTGTTAATTTACATCTGTCTTTATCGTATTTAAGTATTGTCAATTTTATGGTTTTCATTTTTATATTATATCGTATAAGAAGTGAAAATTTTAATAATCGACAACTGTGCCAACTGTGGAGTTTATTAAGAATATAACGTTGTAACAATCGTCTAAACCTTTTGGTAAAAAATTGTTATTAGTCTCTAAATCATTATTCAAGGATTTATATTTATAAGTAGAAAAATATATGCTGCAACTTATGTGAATTGCTTATACTTATATAATTTAATGACAGGTTTACACATTGACGATAGAATAATAATTTATCACTTTTAAATGTTTTTCTTTTTTGTTTTTAATTTTCATTGTAATATCGATGATAGAAATGAAAGTTAAATTATTTTCTGACAAGGATTTTATACATTTCTTAAATTATATGAAACATTTTCAAATAGAAGCATTGAAATATAGTCGAAGATACGCGTATGTTCTTAAAGATAAATAAATATTGCTAAAGGATGATTAATGGCATGAATTGGCTGGCGCCTGATTCTTCATGATTCTTCGAGTATATACATACATACATACATGCATACACACATACATACATACAATACATACATACATACATACATACATACATACATACATACATACATACATACATACATACATACATACATACATACATACATACATACATACATGCATACATACATACATATATATATATAAAATCAATAATTATTTATCTGAATAAATTTGGGTTATCAAGAAGATTAAAGATTATGCATTTGGCGATTATTCGAAAAAAGTTACAAGACCATGACCTAGAACGGGGGGGGGGGGGGGGGGGGGGGGGGGGGGGAAAAAAGGGGGGGGGGGGGGGGGGGGGGGGGGGGGGGGGGGGGTTAGGAGGGATAGGAAGAGTAGGAGGAGTAGGGTGAGGAAGAGGAGGTGGCGGTGATGGCGGATGTGTGTGTAGGGGTAGGGGGGGAGGAGACGTAATAGAGACGAGTGGGTCACGTTAATCCTAGTGTGAAGGCCCCCGATTCCAGGGCACATCGAGGGGCGCCAAGGGGCGCGCGTTGCCGTCGCCTTCAGTCTTGACTTTGATTTTGGAAGCAGGATGAGGTGCGGGTAGGCAGCGCAACATCGACGTTGCATCTATTTTAACGATGAGAGCGACCAGTCACCGAGAATAGCCGTTTTATTTTTATCGTGAAATAAGGCGGAGGAGCAGGCGGCGATGGTGGGGTTTCGCGAGAGAAAGGAGAGACAGTGAATGAGGAGACTCGTCTTCTTAGTCTTCGGAATCTTAGTCAGGATGAACGATCGAAGTATTTTCCTTTTTGCCCGGGAGCTTATGTTTTCTGACGAGTGCAACGATCTTGTGACGATGATTCATAAACAGATGTTCCTTGATGTTGTTAGGGATTGCGCTCGAAATCTCAAGGCCTAATGTCTTGTTTTGTGACTGTTATTGCAAATCAAAACGATCTGCTTGTTGTGCAAAATAGTTGTATCTCTTATTAATATTGTTATTATCCAATCATTAGTTTAAGGTCGTAATGCTTTAAGTACGATTGGTTCCGTTTATTAGCTTCAAAGGTAAATGGTAATAAATTTATAAAATGGTTTCCACATGGAGTGTTTATAAATACTATTGGGTCAGAAAGTACATTCGATTCTATTTCCAGGAATCTTAAGTCTTGTTTAGATACATAGTTTTGCAATTTTGTATATTAGTTTAATGTTTAATGTTTCAAATGTACAATAACTATAATGTTCCGTAAAATTAGATTTAAAATAAAAGCTAGTTAGAGTGTCAAAATCTTTAATAATTTAAGAGTTGTTAGACATAAGAAGTTTTAATTGAGCAAATATTTTTATGCGAGTGGCCCCTTTAATTGTCTCGTAACGATAAAGAAATAATAAATAAACAATTATTGAGCAAAAATATTTCGAATAAATAAAACAATAATGTTAACTATCCAAAGTTAATATAAATAAATATGGATTAGAATTTTCATGTTAAATAAATATACACATAGTTGCTGTAATTTTCATTATTATAAAACATTTTAATTAAAAAATCGACCGTACATGTGCATATTTCTTTTCATTATTGTCAACCATAAACAGAAATATATCGAATAAACGTATATCAATTTTGTTTAACCATTGATAGGATTGTTTTCAATTTACATTTGAATAGAGTATAATTATGTTAATAAATTTTAGAATAAATAACAAATAAATAATAAAAATCTGCGTTTTATCGTTAATAGGTA